AAAGTTTTAAAAAGGTTTTGAAAAAGGTTGTCGTTCAAAAGCAACGTTATATGCATATGGGGAGAGGGGATGGCGGGGCGTACGGGTTATCTGAGCGGCTCAAAAATTTTGCCATAACTTGCAAATAGCATGAAGAACATATGCAGCAAGTTTGAAAATGATAACTTTCTTTTTAGACTTTATGCGAAAAAATATATAATTCCGGCGTTATGCTAAGCAATTGACGTTTTGGAAGTCAGCCAAAATGTATTTTGCAACCACCAAAACCGGTTTAGAGCGAAATTTCGCTAATGAAAAACAACAAATTGTCTACTAGAAAATAACAGGACTTTCCGGACTTCTTTCAAAATAGTTTTTATTTTTTTTGTTAGATGCTTTATTTAAAAAAGCGTAAGGAGCTGATGCTTTCTTTTTGTTTGAGCATGTATGCACATTAGGGTGATCCAAAAGTGCATGTGGAAAAGTAAAGTTTATGATCTCACCCCCTAGGATTGTTCTATACCGAAACAAATTATACCCCTACAATTAGAGGTCGCTCAAAGCGCTCAAAGTTTTCCATTAAATTGTATATCTGGAAAAACCAACTTTTTGTAGAAATGGTATAGAATTCTTAAAAATCAATATTTTTCGATCAAAAACCTCTACTACTTTGCAGGAGATTCCCAATAATAGTACCCAATTGTTTATTTCACCAGTGACCTCTAAATATTTTTTGATTTCAAAATAAAGAAATAGAGGTATACTTTTTTCGATATAACTAGTACAATCCTAGAGGGTGAGAGCATTACAATTCCGACGTTACTGTTTTTGGACCACCCTTATGTACATACATATACATACATAGGTATGTATTTCATCTTTACCCCCGCAAACATATTCTCAGCGTTCAGAATATATGAGTCTGAAAGGAGTCCAAAAACAAAAAAATTTGGACTCTTATATGAATCTTTTAGTATTCATATATGATCCAAGTTATGAGCCAGCACCTTGTGCCAATAAATATTTGAAATTTATATCTAAACTTGTTTATACAGAAATTGAAAATAATTAGAAAACAAAAAAAAAAATAAAAAAATTTAGCTGCAGCTGATGCTATTGAATGCATGTTGGAATGTGTATATGCACGTATTTAACCCTGGAAGGTCATCGTTATTTTTATAACGCAAATGTCATCCTTCGTCGATTCGACGACGGCATTTCTAAAAGTCGTTATTTAATTAACCTGTGTATCATAATGCACAAAAATTATTATTTTCACATTATTTTGTTTGTATTTTTTTTTTTGAATAAAACAATATCAAGTAGTTTTTCTTAGTCTTTTGATTGTAATTAAAGATTTCACAGCTCTGATTCATTTGGCTTTTTGTACAAAACATTAATTAGAAAATATAAAAAATAAATAACTTGAAGTACATATAATTCATTTAAAGTGTTTTTTCTTAAAAATAATACTATGAACTAAAAAAGGAAAACAATTTCAGATGCGACAGTTCTCATTTTGTGCAAGAGGCGCAAAGCTCTATTTTATCCTCTCCACAGAGACTTTTTTGGCATTTTGCAAGGATGATTTGTTATGCGCCGCTTAGAAGGGGGACAAATTGCGCAATTTTTGTTTCTCTTCGTCGGTATAACTTTTGGTTGCATTGATCGTGTATTATAACTGCACAAGTAAAATATATAAACAAATAAAAAAAAATTAATTAAGAAAATTACTTTGAAAACATACACAAAGTTCATCCTTCGTCCTTTTGACTACGCACATTTAAAAAATAAGTACTTACACGAAGCGCATGAATCTAAGTAACCGCACACATCAACAGCACAACACCGACTAGCGCTATACGAAAAATTAGCACTATACAAACAAAGAAAACAGCGATAACGGTAAAATAAGAACTCGCGTCGTCGAAACGACGAACCATGACCTTCCAGGGTTAAGTATGTATGCATGTTATTTGCTGAATGCCTTTGCAAATATAATGCGTTCAATAAGACTCAATCAACAACCTAAAATAAGAGTCCGAATATAGTAATTTATGAGGCCAATAAGAACCTCAAAAAGAGTCTGAAATGATTCATATATTCATTCATACAAATATGAGGCCAATAAGAGTCCAATGTGACTCATACTGAGGCTCATTTGATGTATGAATTTAAGCTCATATATGTCGACCTTCGGAGGAAGAGAAACACCCTCATATCAGACTCTTAAATGAGCTCATTATGAGCGTAATGGCTCAGATATAGGACTCCTTAAAGACTCATTTATGACTCCAAGTGTTTGCTGGGACGCTACATATATATGTATGTACATTACGGTGGTCCAAAAATGCATGAGAAAAAGTAAAGTCGGAATTTTCATGCCCTCACCCCCTAGGACTGTTGTATATTGAAAAAATATACCCCTGTTTTTTGTTTTTTTTTACATTAGTGCTTTTCTACATGCAAATCCCTTTCATTTGACACCTCATCTTTTGTAATCCAACGAACGGTGAGGATGTTATAGTTTTTTCAGAAATGTGGCAACCCTATTGAAATTCGAAATAAAAAAGGTCACTATCGATATAGAGTATATTAAAGAAAATATGCCAAAATCCGTTCAGTAGTGTTCGAGATTAGCGCGTACAAAGAATCTCGACTTTCCTTTATACTATGTATAGACTAGCCGGCCTCCTATGTGCACGTTTGAAATAACAACTTAAATCTATATTTCACGCACAAACAAAATAACATATGTATTTCGACAAAATATATGTGGCGCATATTCATACGTATTTCATTAACTTCATTACATTATAGATTTAAATAATCGTATTAGCAATTTCCAACACTGGAAACATACCTAAATTCTCTATATCAAACTTGTAATTTGGCAGCCCTACTAGCTTTTTTGAATTTCTCTTTAGTTCTCTCTCTCTGACAAATTTATAAAATCTTTTGAAGTCAATAAATGTTTGATCATCGTGGAAACAAATCTTTTATTTAAATAGTACCACATTGGTGACCACGTATTGCTAAACACGCGCTTTAGTTAAAACGTGAAAAACCCAGAAAAATCCCTCTCGACGAAAGTACGACTATTGCGGGCGGCCGAGATTCTGACATTTTCGAAAGCTACAATGGCGTGCCACGAATTCCACTCCCTGCAATGAGCGAGGAGAATATAGAGGCGTATTTCTACGCTTTAGAATTTTGGTTCCAAGCATCACTTGTGCACAGTGATTCCAGAAAATTTCATATTGTTCTTGCGAGTCTGCCGGCTAAGAGGCTGTTGAAACTGAAGCCAATAGTCGAGGCCGCACCCCTGACCGATAAATTCGCCTACATCAAAAAAAAAAAGATCACCGATCATATCACTGAAAGCCAGCAACGCCGCTTGCAGCGCATTCTCAAGGACATGCCTCTTGGTGACCGAAAACCGAGCGAATTATTCAGTGAAATGAGGCGAGTGGCCGGCACTACGCTCAACGATAGCCTTCTACACGATCTATGGATTTCACGACTCCCTCCTTACGTTAAAGCCGCTATAAATGCAACAAATGTTCCGCTGGCGGAGAAGGTCAAGATGGCCGATTCGATCACCGAGTCCATTGGGCGGTACAATGGGAAAGTAGACATGGTATCTTCGCGCAATGACCTTTCTGACCTCAAAAACGAGATTGCGGAATTGTCACAAAATTTGCATAGACAATTCAAGGTTAAAGACAAACAACGCGTCAGATCATCGTCTCGAACAAAAACGGTACCTCCAAACGGAGCTTCAGCAAACGGTTTCTGCTGGTATCACGCTAAATTCGGTGACAAAGCAACAAAATGTCGCGCGCCATGCACATTCACTAAACCTGTGACGGCAAAATAAAAATGCTCGGCTGCAACGGTGTCGGGTATTCGCAAACAACCTGATGCCGTACATAACCACCGGCTCCGCATTTTTGATCGTCATCGCAAATTAATTTTTTAATTGATACGGGCGCTGATATTTCAGTGGCCCCACCTAATGGGGAGGCAGCACGAGCTAAATATACCGGTATTAATTTGTTTGCGGCAAACGGGCCGCCTATTAAAGTGTACGGCGAAACCGTTTTAAAACTTAACCTAAATCTGCGCCGAGAATTCACTTGTAATTTCTACGTGGCTGATGTGTCTCAAACCATAACTGGTGCAGACTTTTTAAATAATTTTGGTATTTTAGTCGATATTAAAAGAAATGGCATATTGATCGAAAAACTGAGCTACAAACATTTTGCGAGATTGACAACGGTGATATGTCAAGTGTTAAAACTATTAACGCTAACTTGAAATTTTTGGACATTTTAAGAGAATTTATTGAAATTACGCGTGCACCGCCTATCGGTTCGCCTACGAAAGCTACAAACGTTCATCGTATCTTAACAACTGGTCAGCCAGAACCCAAACTACTACGCCGAACACCAAAATACTACGTCATCCGTATAAACGAAAAAGAAGCAAGAGTGTCTATCGACAGACTTAAACCTCTTTACCGCAACCTTTCCTGGTTAATAAGGGGAGGATAATGTGGCGCATATTCATACGTATTTCATTAACTTCATTACATTATACGTTGAAATAATCGTATTAGCAATTTCCAACACTGTAAGCATACCTAAATTCGCTATATCAAACTTGTTATTTGGCAGCCCTACTAGCTTTTTTGAATTTCTCTTTAGTTACTTCTTTCTGACAAATATTATAAATCTTTTGAAGTCAATAAATGTTTCATAATCGTGGAAACAAGTCGTCTTTTATTTAAATAGTACCACATATGTATATTATCAAAGAGTTAAATGCTGCAATACGAAAGAAATATTTATAAATTATTTTATTGCTATTCACGATATTTTAAAATTTTTCTATCCTTCAAATGTCCCTTGGTGTGTATGTAAATATATATATTATAAGTAAGTATTTCAGTGAGCAGATAAACATTTGTCATAAAACGAGGGTTATAAAAATCTTTTATGTAAATATTTCGTACTTACTTGACGTATCAGTGAAGCATATGTGAAAGGTGGTCGTACATCAGCATTTTTATAAAATTCACGATTCCGATATATTTCTGTAATAAAATATTGAATGTTAAGAACTTATTAAGACATCGATTACATTGTGCGCTCTCTATTATAAATATTAGTGTGCAACACACCTTGCTGGACATCCAATCCGGCTCTTTCCAACATATAAGGCAATCCTGAAATGTACCGAAATATATATAGTAAGCAAAAGTAAAATAGTTATTTTATTTTTGGTGGTAATTATTTCCAACAGGGTTTGTATACGATGTATTTTGGAAGGAGTTTTCGTCATCCCTTGCCAAATTCGGTTTGGGGACGAACCGGTTTCGGCGATGAGCCATCTTCAGTGTCATTTTCATGCTGACGAAAATTCCTTTCAAAATACATCATAAGATATTTATAATGTTGAATTTTTAATGAGTGTTTAATGTGTTCGAATATGATCTTTCAAGTAGTATTGTAGTAGTACGTAGTAGAAATGATTACCGGCATTTGTTTTTTGTTTATTTAAATATTCTCCAACCGGTGTGGTGAAATGAGAGCCAAACGCAATACCGAGGTGAGTCAGTCAGCATTGGGTAGCGGCACGCAGTAAACAGCGGAGCCAATCTTAGGTTTATCTGATTTTAACGCGCACTTATCGCACTTTACACGGAATAATAAAGCAATGAGATCACAAGATCGCACGTGCACTTCTTACGCGTTACGATCTGCTACTGATAACAGCGGAGTATGAGAATGTATCGCCAAACAACGTAAGGTACCGAGACATGGTGGGAAATGTCATGGGTACCGACGCCGGAGTGGAACTGGTCACACACGAAGTAACGCTTGAAAGCAAAGACCTCGACAAGATTACGAAGCCTCAAGCATTCATAAAAGCCCTATCGTATCACCCCTATATGCCTATGTTAGAGGTATCGGCGGTCAAAAATATGCGCGAAGGATACGGCAACACGTAAAAGGCTAGCTAGCTAGCCTGGCGGTTATCGCGGCAAATTCCATCCTGGCTAGGGGCAAAATTCAAATCGGCTAGGTAGTGTGTCGACTGCGGAAGATAGTTCAGACTATCAGATGCTTCCGGTGCTTGGACTTCGCACATTTAGCAACGGACGGCAAGAATATAGATCGTTCCTCGCTGAATAGAAGATGTGACGGAGAAAACCACAAAGCGAAGGGTTCAATCTTTGATATCACTTTTAGCAGCAACTCCTTAGAAACGCTAAACCAAATTGTGTGTTGGCGAACACTATACTCACAGCAACCACCAAGCCATAACACTTCGCTTGGAGTTTCCCACAGGTGCACATTAGGTCAAATGATACATTTGGCTGTGCGAAAGTCCGATTTCGTAAAGGCAGTTTTACATTATTTTTTGTTGCCATTCTGTAGGGAATACTCCAAAATAACAGAAACGTCACTTAGTTTTTGTAAAATAAAAAACACCGTTATACAGCAATACACCAAATATACACTTTCAAAACGTTACTGATTCGTTGTTTGCGCAACCGGTTTATTTTGTAAATTTCAAGTGCATTGTTTTTGCAAAGTTCGAATAAATAAACGATAATTTTAAATGGGAAACAAAACTATATCTAAGTGAGAACCTATGTCCCAATTTCAAAAAGTTACTTTTTATCATTTGTTTGCAAATAAACTGACTTATTTGCATAACCTCAAAAATTTTCTGATTTATTTCCATTTATGATTTTATGTAAGCTTTTACAATTTTGTTAACTTTCGGCAAACAAAATGGAATCGGAAATGCATAAAATAAGATGTGATGAGTTGAATTTGTTTTACTTAACTTGCCGTTTTTAGCCGTTTTCAAGAAAAACGGTTTTTTTCTGGGCTATCATGCTATCACAAAAGGCAAGTTGTTTAAAGTTTGGCTGATTGGAAAAAGAAAAGCCTTTTTCGGTTGTCAACTATGTTGAAAAAAAATTTGGCGCTGCTGATATTTGCGAAAGTTCCATGAAACTCTTAGAAAAAAAAACGCGTATTTTTTACAATTATTTATCAAATAAATATGAAAATTATGGGAAACAATTTGGAAAGGATGCTAAAATATTTAGATCTAAAAACATAGCGTTTCTTGCTGATGAGGTTCTTTTCGAAATCGAAAAGCCAACTGTGTAGACCATCAGCCGGATTCTAACTTTCGCTATCGCTAAAGTGCTAAAATAGGATAGCTAACCTTTTTCCGAATTTTTAGCTATCTCCAAAAATATCTCCAACATTTTTTGGTGATGAATAATCCATTTTAATGATAAATAGTAAAAATGGAAGTATGTGATAGCAAACAAAAATAGCAGCCTCAATTTGGATTACATTTCATCTCCTGTAGCGCAGCCGAGGCTATGTTACAAATACACTAGCGCCTTCGCAAAAAGGCAAAACCTTGAGAGAACTTACGGACTGAAATCTCGATTTTTTTTTACTCAAAGTGAATAGAGCTTTGAACATTCTTTTAACAAATTAGTTTCATAAACATTCGTATTCTTTTCAGGAAGTTACCAGCAATTTTTGGTAAATGTGCATTTGTATTCTGAATATAAATAATATCGGTGGAGAATTTGGAAATACTGAAACCTCAAGTGAAAACGAAATGTTTTATGAAGACTAACTGCTTTAGGAATCTCCCCTCAAGATTTATCTGGGAGACATGTAGTAAATATTTTTCTTTTTTTAATTTAGGAATTTCGATAATGCCATAACTAATCGCAGGAAGAAACCATTTATGTACATGTGACCATACTTATTTTATTATGTAGCTCATTTTAAAGGGGAGGGGGTTGAGTATGGTAAGAAAATAACTTGTGTCAAAACCAAGCTAATTGGACAATGTTTTTGAGTACTACCTAAACACATATACTCATCATTTGAACATACAAAAAAGCAGAAAAGTCTGTTTTACGAAAGCCAAGTTTGTTTATCATTTGATTTACTGCCTTTACACTTGTTTTAACGTTTGCCATCTTTTTACATTAAAATAATGCAATATTTTAGCTGCTATTAATTTCGCACAGAAAAAGTAATCATTTGACCTAATGTGAGGTGTTAGCATTATTGGATTTGCGGACGATATAGCATTGGTGGTTGTAGCGAAACACAAACAGAAAGTAGAGAATAAATGTAACGTCGCAATCGCACCTATAATCGACAGGCTAAAATAGGTACGCCTCACTCGACGAGGAGAAAATGAATCGGTTTTGATAAGCAGCGAAAGCAGAAAGAGCTTCATCCACCGCGGGTAGGCACCTAATACTAGCAAAAAGGCAGAAATGCTACTTAGGCATGATACTAGACGATAGGCTTAACTATGGCGCACACGCAGAATACATTTCTAGTAAAGCCTCTAAAATGTACACTGCTCTTAGTGAAATTCTCTAAAATATCAGTGGACCAAGGCGCAGCAGACGGAGTGTACTTACAAGAGAAACTCCCTCCAATCTTGAAAGTCGGTGAAAGTCACCGCGCGCCGAAAACACTACAGTGCCCTACAGAGACTGTGCGCACTCAGAGTTGCTTCTGCGTACAAAACGACATCAGCAGAAGCGGCAATGGCGGTTGCTGGTATGATATCAATGCCATCCTAGCTGAAGAATCCACGCGTATCTCAATGGACGTATACCCTGATTCCCAACCTTTACAAATAGGTAAATCGAAAGCATGGAGAAGAAAAAAATTCCAGTTGACGAAGATTCTGACAGGCCACGGCGTATATGGTGCTACCTTTACCGATTTTTATTTATTTATTTATTTCTTACGGTTCTTTGAACCTAGATCATAACAATATTTAATTATAAGCTTAACCTAGTATTAAAAATGCAATACTTAAGCCTAGTAGGACTATTTGTAAGGGAATTCATTTATATACATACATTTAAAATTGCACGGGACAAAAGTAAATGGCAACAGGATCTTAGCGAGGGTAGAGATAGAACACATTAGTTATATTGAAACAGTCTTACAGTATGCAAATAATTTTCTTTTTAATTCAGTTATGTTTTTACATTGGGTAATAATATTAGGTAATTTATTATAACATTTGGACCCTTATAATAGAGATTACACTTATCAGACTCGCATTTAAAAATGGGTAAATTTAAGTAATTTTTTTACGGGTGTTTTTTTTATGTATATCATTGCCATACTTTATTCTACCTTTTAATTATTCTGGCAGGTTCCCATCTATAATGTTTTTAACGAATTTCATAGTGTAATAGAAGTGTTGTTGCTTAACACCAACATGTCTCTAATTGGGGTGTCATAAGGTTTTCTAAGAATAAATCTCATTGCTCGGTTCTGTTGCTTTTGCAATTTATAAATCTGGCTTTCATTAATTATGAATAATATAGTTGGACAATAATTTAGTAGGGGTTCTATTATTGCTGTGTATAACATTATTTTATACTTTCTGTTTAATAATTTACACGTACATCGCATGAAGTATAACTTCGTTGCTGTTTTGCTCACAGTCTAATCGACGTGATCATTAAAGTTTAACTTTTCGTCGATTTTTATACCCAAATATTTAAGGGATTGCACTCTTTCTAATGTTTGCTGGTTTATATTTAATTGGCCCAAATCATTATTATCTAGGCCTCTTCTAGATATAACCATAAGTATGGTTTTGCTGATGTTTAATTTGAGTTTATTATAAGCAAAGCCAATTATATATTTCATCCAGATCGTTTTGAAGCTTTGAAACAATATAATTTGAATACGGCACCTCGCCGATTTGCCCAATTTATAACGTAGCAGAAGATGCGTGCCACGTGGTCTTCAACGGCCCGCGCTTCATTTCCGTTAGGAGAGAACTAGCGGATCTGACGAGCACAACGCCACTTCCGAAAAATCTCTTGGACATCATGCTTCCAAGAGTGCGTGGACAGGCGTCTGCATCATAATTGCAAAGACACACAAGCGGCTACGTGAGGAAGACAACAAACGCCGCAATATTCTACGAACTTCATCTGTGGTAACGTATATAACGTACGCATGTGACCTCGTCATAGGTGAGGGTGGGTGGGGGCTAACTGAGCCGACAGGGGTGGGGTACATAGGTACACTATAAACTCTAAGGGAGTCAAGTAGGTGCAACTTTTAACTCATTGAACCAAGACTAAATAAGATAGTAACGGACGTTGAGCCTAGTGATCACACCGCCTCC